CCTCCGTGACAGCTGGGTGACTGTAGTCCTTGTCCCGAGTATCTTTGTGACACTTCCCTCCCCTACCCCCAGGACACTGTATCTTTCTGCCCTATGTGCCTATTACCTTTGTTTAATTTTGGTCCCTGCCTGTATGATTCCCCAGATGCTATAGTTTCTTCCTCATCTCTAAATCTGAATCCCAAAGTGACTGTAGTCTGCCCTGCGTGCCTATGTAACCCCCATATGACCCATATGGGTTCTGTATGCACTGTATGTAATGGAGGGTGGAGAGAAAAATTGACCCTATGAGTCAATAAGGGAAATGCTCTCCCAAAAGAAGTGAAGATACTAGCCTTGCTCCCATAGGCTCTTTCCTCCCCTCTCCCCTTCAATGTTCTCTCATTTCTTTCACCTCCTTCCAAGCTCAGCCCCAGCCTTACTTTTTCTCCTGCTCCCTGGCTTCCTCAGCCCGTTCTCCGCAGAAGAAGATGGAGTGGACGTGTAATGAATGTTTGTTATCTAATGCTTGAACTGAGTTCAGTTGAGGCTCTAACAGCTCTGCATTGGATCAGCATTTATGTAGTGCTTTAAGGTTTTGGGAAGAGTTTTGCATGTTATCTCCCTGTGATCCTCACAAGAACCCTGTGAGGTCAATGCTCTTATTTTAGAAACGAGGCCCAAAGAGGTTAAGTGACTTGCTCAGGGTCATACGGGTAGTCAGTGAGACAGAATTCAAACTCAGATCTTCCAGATTCCGGTGCACCATCTAGCTGCCTAAGCCAGGCAGGGACAGACAAAAACACCTAGCTAGGTCCATGCCAGGTTGCCATCAGAAACCTTGCCTCTGGGGGATGCAAATTGGCTCAGCTGGGAATTTCCATGGCAAGGCCCCTCGGTGGTGCCTGCACCCGTGCATACCTGAGGGCGGAGCCACTCCTTCTGCAGACCAATCAGAGGCAGGGCTGTGAAACTGTCGGGCTGACTATTCTACAGGGTGGGGGGAGGGGCAGGCACCCGCCAAAGCAGCCTCTTACGTCTGTTGCATTTTTTTAAAATTTCCATTTCTTTTCTTTTCTATTTGAACTCAGAGTCTATAATTACCAACCTATGGGTTACAGCAGGATCGGGGGGCGGAAAGAGGAGAGTTGGAGACAACACCTCCATCTGAGCTGGGGTGCAGGTGGAAGCTACTTGGGAAGGTGAAGGGGGGCTGTTGAGATGCTGGGGCCTGGCTGACAGCTGGGAAGTGGGAGACTTTGATGTTTCGGGGTGTTTCCCAGCAAAGGGGCTGGTTCAGCGTTAGTCAGGAGGGTGAGGATCATTAGTCCTTTAAAGAATCCGCTGGCCCTGCCCACCTATCCCCTTGTTCTTGATGGGCGGAGTCTGGAAGGGAGGGTGCTTGAGGGGGTGGTGTCCGTGCTTTTCCCTGGGTAGCGAAGCCGGGCCTCCTGTGTCAGATCTCTGAAGGCCCGGTGCCCGCCTCAGATTAACGAGGTTGGGCTGTCAGCGCCAGAGGCGCCGCCCAGAATGCTAAAAAGGAAAACGACTTGTTGATGATATTGTTTTCATGCTGGTACCAGGACACAGGAGTGACGCCTGAACCGCAGATGAAGGCAGGGAACTCGTCTGCTCCCCACTCCTCCTGTGGACCTTGAGGCCCTGGACCTTTGTGGTCTGCGCTGTTTTCCTTCAGCTTTGTAGAGCCCAACCCCAAGGAAAAGAGTTTCTGGTGACTTCAGGTTTCTATAAGGCATTTTCCTTTTATTGTATGTACCACAACCGTCAAAGGAGAACCTTTCTGCCTCTAGACATCTATAACCTGTGGAAGTTTCAATGAGGTCCTTCTCAGAGGCAGAGAAATGAACTAGGTAACCTTCTGAAGTGCTTCCTTATTCAAGAAATCCATGAAAACTGAGGTCCTGGGGTGAATTTCCAGAAAGAGAGGCATCTTTGAATTTGGGGGACCCAGGAGAAAACCCCCCCAACCCCTGGATTTCTCACCATGTATTCTTATTGAACTGAGATAGAAGGAACCCTTGATGGTAATTAAGATTGGGGGGGGGTCCCTGAGACTCACTGCTTTCCTTCTTTTGCCTCCTAGCTGCAGGTTGGGGGTGGGTCACCCTAGGATTTTCAGAGTAAAGTGTCAATATTGTTTCATGGGGAAGTTCTGTTCCCACTGCTGCGTATATAACTCTTCATCTTTCTGCTCTTGGCCTCTGTGTATCAGCCCACCTGCCATATCATTTACTTATATTGCACAACCTGGACCCCGTGACACACAATTAGTCTCTTTGGGGCTAGAGCTGCCTTTAGCTTACTGTTTTAAAGCTTCCCCTCCTTGAGGGCTCCCTCTCTCTGGACCAGAGGTGCACAGTGAGAACAAGATCAGAGGTAAATCCTTCCCTTGGCAGAGCTTTCCGTATCGCTGTGTAGGTGCTGGGTCCCCTATGCCATCTCACTGTACCCTCCAGCCCAGGCAGGCTCTAGAGTGAGTCCCTAAAGATGGGTTCCTCCAATTTGCTTGGACCCCAAGGACTGTCCATGAGATAATTCTCTAAGCAATGGATGGAAAGGACCCTAGCTCCTCCTTACCCTGACATTCCCCTGAGCTCCAACTTCCCTCATTAGGCTTCTGCTTAAAGCCTAGTCTGAAACATATGGAAGCAGTCAGTTCTCATGGGACAATATTGATGTTTTTCTGTCCTCTCCCCATCAGTAGCAATAAGATTGCCCCCATTTTGTCCCTGCAGGTCACACAGCAGTCAGAGGAGGAAACAAAGTGCTATCTAGCATCACTCAGCTGTATTATTGACCATTAATTATTGGGGAGCTTCCCTACGTATTCCCCCACCCCTCAGACCTTGAGTGTTGGCCCAGGTTCAGCCTAGGACAGGAACACATATCCTTGGCTTCTGTTTCCTCTCTGTGTTTCTCCTTTAAACTAGCCAGGCTGGCCCCAGGACATCATCCTTGTTATGCTGAGTAACCCAGGACTCTATCCCCAGCGTTTCCTATTCCTGGGTAGAGCCCACAATGCTGATTGGGTTCTGAGTAGGATACTTTCTAAGGAATGGAATTTTATAGGTACCAGAAACATCCCCTTATCCTCCCCGACCTCAGCTAATCCTTTGAATAGGGGCCAGTAGCTTTAAAGATGCAGTTACCACAAAGGTAAAGTTAGATCGCTGAACTGCTAGTCAGAAGACTAGTTTCAGCCTTGCCATGTTCCATTGGGCTTTAGGGAAGACCACTGGATTTTGGAGTTAGGAGGCCTGGGTACAAATTCCAGCTCTGCCACTTACTGGGACCTTATATAAAATCACTTAGCCTCTGGGCTCCAGGTTCATCATTTTAAAATAAGGAACCAGTTTATTAGCAAGTATTTATTAAGTGCTTACTGTATGCCAGACTTTGTGCTAAACGCTGAGGATACAAAGAAAGACAAAGCCTTTTAAATTCTTTCTTACTCTAAAATGTTATTAGTCATTTCATCTCCTTAGCCTCTGTTTTCTCATCTGTCAAATGAGGACACAGACCCACAATCCACTAGATTGTGGTGAGGATCAAAGAAACAGATGTGAAAGGAATTCACAAAGTCCTATACACCTGAATAGAATATTGAGATATTAAATTCTAAGAGAGGGAACACAGAGAGGCAGTGTGATATAATGGAAAGAGTAGTGGAACGTGGAGTCAAGAAGATCAGGAATCCAATCTGGAATCAAAATATTCATTAACTGTATGATCATGGGCAAATCACAACCTTAACATTTTTTTTCGATTAAAAATATTTTTTCTCCCCCCCCTCCACTTTCCCCTTCCCACTAGGAAAAAAACAAAAACAAAAGGAAATCCTTATAATACACATCAAAACAAATTCCCATGTTGGCTGTAACCAAAAATGTAAGTCTCAGTGTGGACCTTCAGTTTCTCTGGCAGGAGGGCATTAGGTTGCTTCATCATGGGTCTTCTGGAACACTGACTGGCCATTACATTAATCAGAGGTCTTCATGCTTTCAAAGCTGTTTGTCTATACAATGTTGTTATTGTATAAATTGTTCTCTTGGTTCTGCTCACTTCACTCTGGATCATCATATAGGTTTTCCCAGGTTTCCCTGAAACTGTCCCTTTCATCATTTTTACAGCACAACAGTATTTCATCATTTGTTCAGCTCTTCTCCAATTGATGGATAACCCCGTAGTTTCTAGCTCTTTGACATCATGAAAAGAGCTGCTATAAATGTTTTCATACATGTAGATCCTTTTTCTCTTTCTTTGATGTCTTTGGGGTATAGGTCTAGTAATGCTATATAGCTGGGTCAAGGGGTATGCACAGTTTAGTGACGTTGGGGACATGATTCCAAATTGCTTTACAGCATGGCTAGACCAATTCTCAGCTTCATCAACAGTGCATCTTTTTCCACCACCTTTCTGACATTTATCATTTTCCCTTTTTGTCATCTTTGCCTCATGGAATAATCATCAGATGATTATGAGGCAGAACCTCAGAACTGGTTTAATTTGCCTCACTTAATATCTTTTAAAACTTCAGCTTCCTTTACTGTAAAATAGGGTTAATAATACCAGTGGTACTTACCTCACAGGGCTGTTGTAAGAGGCAAATGAGATAATGTATCTAAAGTGCTGCGTAAACCTTAAAAGTGCTCATATAAATGTCAGCTAATATTATTACAATTATTTATGCTCACACTCAGGTGTGGATGGCTGATAGCTGATCCTTTCCTGAGAGCAGGTTTGGAAAAAGGAAGGAAAAAAAAGGAAATATCTGGGTCATTGAAAGATTTGTTAAGATGCTCCAAGAAAAAGGAAAAGGGCAAAGAAAAAGAAGCCCGGGGGCACCTGAGATAAACTTTGCCAACATAACAATTTGGCCGTCTATGGGCCAAGCCTCACCAGGCACATGCACACCTTGTTGCCTTCTGGGGAATCCCCATCTGCTGTGCACTACCCTCAGAGCTAAGATTGATGGCTCCCTCTGTTTTCTGTTTTTTCAGCTGTCCCACCCAAGTTGAAGAAAATGAAGAGCCAGACGGTCCAGGTGGGGGAAAAGCAGTCCCTAAAATGTGAGGCAGCTGCCGGCTATCCCCAGCCTGCCTACCGCTGGTACAAGGATGGGAAGGAACTCAACAGAAGCAAAGATATTCGGATTAAGTACGGGAATGGCAAGTAAGTACCTGCTTTCCCAGGTGGCCTATCCTGCACCCTCTGGGTGACCTCTCGGAAGCAGAGAGCTGGGAATCCGGGTTCTGAAAGCCCAGCTGGCCTCCTGGGGATAGGCAAAGCTGACAGCTGGGGGTTGCACTAACCCAAAGTTAGCTAGTGGCGCTCCACTACCCACATTACCCAGCTTTAGACATCCCCTTCCTGCTGTTCTCCACTAACCCCTTGTGCTTGCCTTGCCTCTGGGGCTTTGACTATAGCCCCAGCACGCAGTGCCAGCGTGATCCTGAGTGCCTAGTAAAGGCTCAGGAAGTTTTTGTGATTCTCTGAAGGCAACTTTAAGTCATAAGTGAAGGAGGCTAATTATATAGTATGATTTCGGGGATCATGAAAGAGACCATTCTTCCCATCTCCTCAGGATCTTACCGCAGTGCCTGAAATCCTCACCATCAGTCGTTGCTTTAGGTCGGGGTGCTATTCTCATAATGCTTCTGTTACAAAGAACCTGGTGTCTCTGAGAGGTACCATATGTACCCATTAGAGATGGTTAACTTAGATTAGATTTCTGACTGTCACTTTGCAGACAACAAAGCCCCAAGGGGAAGGGACATGATTTGAAAGGATGCTAGGAGAAAGAGAGAAGTACCAGATATACCCTTGGGAAGGACCACCAAAAGTATGTTGGGGAAGGGGAATAGCAAGACAAACAATTTACTTCACGGTTCTGCCTTATTGACAGCAATGCAGCCACGCTACCCTCCCTAGCAGTGGCTGTACTTAGATGTTTGCAGAAAGGGGGGAATTGGGGAAGAGAGGATCTGAGTGTGCTGTCTGTTCATTGGTCAGCCACTGTTCAGGAGTAGTTTGCATCCTTTTCAAGAATGCAAAAAATCTGTCCCTGTCTTCTCCAGTGGGAAGAGGCCCAGGGTCAAGATACGAGACTAGTTTTTTCTTTCTACTTTCTCCTGAGCGCTTGGGTTCCCATTCCATCTCTTTCCTGAGAGCTTGGCCTCTTAGTCACATCTATATGAGTCTAGGCCTAAGGGAAGTAGCTTAGAGGCTTTTTGAAATCTTGGAGCAATGTCATCATGCTTCCACCCTGGGCAAGTGTGTATATGAGGGAGACTCTGGGGAAAACCAGCTGTAGTATTGAGAAGACCCCAGGAACAAGTCCCTTTCTGTCTACGCCTCCTACCAGAGAAGGTAACAATGCAGAATTTACCTGTATCCACAGCAGCCATTAGGTCAGTGAACCAAAGGGGTTGTCTAGGTGGGTGGGGAAGGAGAACGAGGATACTATTAATGAAAGGCTCCTTACAGAAAATAAAAGTCCTCCTGGATTCTTCCTGTATCCCAAACTCGATTTTTCATTCTGTTCAATTGACTAGTACATGTTGCCACTTGGATAACATTCACCCACCCAAGACCTCTTACAACTCCAGCCAGTGATCTCCCCCTCTACCTTTTCTGCCCTCTGCCAGTGCCTCCCTCACCCTCTGCCCTTTTCACTCACATAAAGTTAATGGTGGGCAGTACCATATCTCTCCCTCTTTCCCTCCCTCCCACCACCACCAGAGACCTTCATAAAGCCAGTTCCCTCAACATCACCTTTCTATCCCTAAATTCATACCATCTCTTCAGAGAAAAACCTAGAGCCTAGGGAGACCATGGGGTTAATGATGCTGAGGGCACATTTCTGATGTTCCTGAGTTCTTCCCTTCCACTACCCTCCTGTGATCAGTACCACAAATAGTAGCTAGGGGGTGGCCAGATTGAATGATCTGCAGACTTTATGCTGCAGGTTTTCCTGTGAGAGTCCTTTAAAGCCCTGGACATGGGAACCATGGACATAGGTCCTGATGAATGGGAAGCCAGTGAGTGACATCAACAGAGGTGACTCTCCTGAATCATCTAAGATTGACTCACCTCCACCCCATTTTGGTAGGATCCCCGAAGGGGAATTGAGGAAAGTAGGACTCCAGTCTCACTCTGTCCCTTTCCTTGACTGAAGTTTGGGGTGATGATGTTATTGTATGACTGACAACCCTCTGGGCAAAGCAGCTCTTCTCTCCTAGGTCTGAGATGCTTAAACGGGAATCAGGTCCCTCTCCATTCCACGTTTCTTCCTGAGAAAGCTGCTACCTTGGTCTGGTCCTTGATTTCTACCTCTGTCTAGTTGCTCTTTAGAACTGAAGTGGGGACTCCCCTGTTCTTTCTTTCCTGGGCACTCTGTAGTATTAAGTGACTCCCTCAAACCTCATCATGATGTTTGTCACTCAGTTATCCCATAATGAGGCCCCTCCCTCCACCCCTCCCCATCCCAGCCCTGTTTGAAGGAGGGGTGAGGAGCTAACATTGTGATGAGGAAACATCTATGTGTGGTTTATGCTCCCTGTGGAGGTAGCCCAACTGGATCCTTGGGCCTGTAACACTGGGGAGTTCATATGGATCTGCCCCTAGCCCTGAGCCTCAGAGCCCCTCAGAGTCAGACTTTCACATGTGTGTTTGTACATCCTAATCCTTCCTAATTCCCTAGCTGATACTATGGAGGAAGGGGCAAGTATCTATTCTCTTCCACTCCAAGGAAAAACAGTAGAGACCTTCTGCTTCATTTACCACATACTACATCTGTAGCAAATACTTTGTTCTGCTTCTGTCACTGTATCTCTCTCCTTCTTTCTCTGCCAATGTCACTGTATCTCTTTTTGTCTCTCCCTGGTTATGCTGCTGTTTCTCTGTTCTCTCCATCTGCAAGCTTGTGTTGATGCCTTTTTCTGTCTCTCTTCCTCTGTCCCAGTCTGTCTTCCAGTCTTCACTATACTCTCTCCTTCCTCCTTTCCCAGGCGTAGTTTTTTTCTAATCTCCACCTCCTCTCCCCTCCCCTACCCCCCAGCTCAGGATTCAGGTCCCTCCCCTGGAGAACTACATGTTCCATCATTAATGAGAAGCAGGCTAGGACAGGCCCTGCAGGCGGGCGGGCAGCTCAGAGAGGAAGTGTGGGGATTGGAGGGGGGTGGGTGGGGAGAGGTGGAGCATTCCTACCAGAGTCACTATACGGGGGGGGGGGGTGCCAGGTCACATAGGGAAATAAAACCTGGGAACTAAGGGGACACAACAACGTGAAGATACAGCCTGAGGGAAGAGAATGTTAAATTGGGGGAGGAGGGGAGTGTGGAAGACAGGACTCCAGTGGGATAGGCTAGAGGAAGATCAGTTAGAAAACAAAGCTGCTGAGATGGAGGGAAGACAGGAGCCCTACTCCAAAGACTTCCCAGGAGGCCTTACTCCCTCCTCTGTGTTCCGTTCTGGGGAGCTGAGACCATACTGTGATACTGTGTGCCTCCGTCTTTCGCTCTGAGCCCTTCTCCTCTAGGGAGATAGATCCTAATTACAAAATGCTTATCGGAATGAAGATTGTGTTGTTATTGTTGTCAATTCCTTTGGCTGTTTGATGAAGCCTATGAAGCCCTTTTCTGAATGATGTTTTTAAAAAATGTTTTTAATAAAATATATAGGATTGCAAAGGAAACTATAGATATTGAAATTAATTTGCAAAAAAAAAATTTTTTTTAAGCAACTCATGGGCCCCAGGTTAAGAACCTCTGTCCTAGAGCTAACAGAAGTCCCCAGAGGGCATCACATGTGCCTTCCCTACCTCAGAGCAGAACAGTCTTAATGTATCTCTACTGTTGTTCCTGAAGATTTCCATGGAAGGACTTGACTGCATATTTGCGTATTCCCGTTGTCACTAATAAGGTCATCCTTCTGTCTATCTACCCTTCCTCTACTTGAAGCTTAGACTTCTTCCCCCTTGCCCTGCCCTTATAAAGAACCGTGATGGATTTTAAAGGAAACTTGCCAATTTGGGTTATGGAAAAGGGATGGGGAGCCAAATTGTTCTTTTAGGTCCTGAAAGTTCAAGATTTACATTGTCTGACTCCGTGATCCCCACCTGTCCCCCTTTTTCTGGGGTGAGGTTTCAGGGGAGGGGTGGCAAGGGCAGACTCCTGACAAAGGGGAGTATTGTTTCTGATTAGGCTGGAGCCAAGGAGGAGATGGTAGGATGGTCAGAGGGACCTTAAAACTATTTTTAATGAAGGAAATCAACTGTAATTGACAAGGAGAATGAGCCCCAAGGCTGTGGGCAGAAGCTGGGCCAAGGAGCTGAAAATGTGCTTTGGGGAAGGAGTAATCGCTGTGGCATCACTGGGGACATCTCCATAGCAACAGAAAGTGTTGACAAGACAACTGGAGGGAGCTGTCCCTGGGGTCCCAGGAGGAGGATGGTCCCCAGAGGCCCCTAGACTCACTGAAAGGGGAGAGATTTCTCTGGAAAAGAAACAAGTGGTGCTTATCAGTTTGATTTGTTTGATATGTTCCTCTCATGCCTATTCCAGTGTCCCTCTCCCTCCTCCTATCCCACTGGGCTTCTGGCCCTGCCTGTCTCCTGTTGTTGTCCCTCCTAATTCGCTTTTCCTCCCACCCCCACCCCTCACACACACTGCTCACAGCAATAGCTAGGGACCCCTGGGCAAGGATATTCTGGGAAGTTGGTAATTAGTTTTGCTATTCAATAATGAAGCAGAGAAGTCATGTTGTGTAAGGAGATTTTCCTGCTTTGTCCTGTTTTTCCCAGGGGACAGGCCACTGTCCTGTGCTTTCATCCAGAAGACTGGCCAGGCTGGGGTCAGGGGGTGGGAGGGCTCTGGGAAGGCTCAACAGTTATTATCTAGGTAGGGCCAAGAGGGTTCCCAGGGGTTGGGGATGTTAAAGGAATAGGGATATAATCATCCCAAAAGAGATGGAGATGAAAGGGATGGAGAAGAAAATATAAAAAAGGCAACTTAAAAGGAAGAAAAATGGATGTCTGTACCATCACTATGGACCACTTTGGTACTGGGGGTGAGGTTGTACCAAGAAGGATATTGGAGGTGAAGGATCAGGAACATAGGGGAATTTTCTTTATATTTTTATATCAATGAACAATATCTAATTAATAGAATAGCTACAACCTGCCCCCCCCCACTCAGAACTGCTGCTTTTGAACTAGCCTTCTGGAGGCTGTATTTCAAGAGGCTAAAGAGATTCCAAAGAGAGGGGCAGGCCCCTAGCTTTCCTGAGGCCAAGGGAGTGATTTGTCAGAGTGGAATGACCCTGTGCAACTGAAGTGCCCTCCCTCTGATCAGACTTGGAGTCTCAAGCAGGGACCCCTGAGGGGGAGAAGGGTTACTTTACTTCCCACCAAGATGCAGCATCTAGCACTCTCTGGCTTCCCTGGTGATAGACCTCACAAGGGGCATATACTCACTAGCTCACCCATGTGGAAAGGAAAGGAAGTGCAGAGTTTGTGGGGTGGAGGGGGGGAAGACTTTGCCTAGAAGTCAGAAGATAGAAGCTCTAGGATGAGCTCTACCATGAAGTTCCTGGGAGACTTTGGGCAAGTCATTCATCCCCCTGGGCCTCAATTACTTCTTCTTCTGTAAAATGGGGCTAATTATCCCTTACCCCTCCCTTCCTCAGAGGAATGAGGGCATACATATAGGGGAAAAAATATTCAAAATGCTCGAACGAATGCATGGCGGTGGTAATGGTGGTGGTGGTAGTGGTGGTATTCGCATCCAAACCCACCTTATCAGAAAGGCTGGGAGCTGGATGGATGAGGAACAATACTCCAGGTTTGGTGTTATCAATTTAGCAGCTCTGAAAACTGTCATCAAAGTAGCTGCTCTCCGAGGTGCTGGGGAGCGCCTGGTCCCATCTTAACCTTATGAACCCTCCAAGTTCATGAGAATCTATGTCTCAGGGTGCTACCTCCAACACTTACAGGAAGTGCTCCCCTCCCCAAGCTAGGGTCTCAGTGGGGTTCACGTTCATCTCTTCCGGAATAGGTGACACCAACTGATAAGCAGTGCCAACTTTTTTTTCTTCTAAGTTGACTTTTCTTCATTTTTCTGACGGACTCATTTCTTCTCCATTCCCTCTTGAGTTGACCTTGCCCCTACCCCTCCAGTGCTTATGAACAGCAGACTAGGGAGCGGAAGGGGAGGCATTTGATGTGAGGGTGGAGAGGGAATTTAATCTACTTCCGGGGCCCTGGCCTAGAAAGAATTTGTAGGTTCCCTGACCAGTTTAGGATCTCTCAAGTCAAGGGCTTTCACCCTCCAATAGAGTAGCATCTCTCCATCCTTTACAGCCACAATCAGCCCCATAGGCTGTGCACCGCCCTCCTCTTCCACTGCTGGAAAATAGGCTGTCTGGGGGCAGTCAGGGGAAGAACAATTCACCTTCAATCAAAACTTCTTTCCTTTCTCCCCACCCCTCCACCCTCTGCCTCCCCCAAAACAGAAGAAACTCCAGGCTGCAGTTCAATAAGGTGAAGGTGGAAGACGCTGGGGAGTATGTCTGTGAGGCAGAAAACATTCTCGGAAAGGACACAGCCAAAGGCAAACTGAATGTGAACAGCGGTACGTCTCTGGGAGAGTCAGGGAGGTGGGGGCTGGACTGGGAGGACTTGGGGGGCTTCCAGTCACTGTGCACTGCTGGGGAGCCTCCTGGCACATGATTCATCTTGCACTCCGGTTCGCACTCCTTCTCCCTATCAAACACAACAATCTCGGCAGATTAAGAGAAATGCAGTTAAAGCATAAATGTTTAGCTTTGTTATCTAGAGCTGGCAAAGCTGCCGGCTCACATTTTAAATACCCTGAAAACTAAATATTTTGAAATCTATAGGTGGGGGAGGGATATTTTTAGAAGGCAATTATGGGTGGCTCGACTGCCAGGAGCCGGAGCCGGGGGAGTCAGGGCTGGGCCCCCTGGGCTGGAGTGTGAGCTGATTTTTCTACCCCTGTGTTTGTTTTATCGCTTACTGGGGGAACAGTCCTCTGACAGGAGGCCTCCTACATTCTCCTCTCAGAGGACTGGGGGAGGCAGGCCAGAGTGGGAATAGTGGAATTGGGAGGACAACCCCTTGGCACCCACATTTGGACCTTGGAGGGGTGGAAGTTAACTCTCTGGCCTCTTGGGCATTGAGTTGGTAATGGGTAGAAGGGTCTAAGAGTTACTATCTTCAGTCAATGGCCCATTGCATAGACAGCTTCTTGTGTCTTCTTTGGAGAGGATCTCTCCACTCGTTCACATCCTAGTGCTTCTCAAAAGCCCAAGTCAAGCCCTATATCCTTCCTGAAGCCTCCCCTCTCCCCTTCACCCCATTCTCTAGACAGAATACACAGATCTCTCCCTTCGTGGAACACTTATGTTCTGAACCACATTATATAGCTCTCCTTCTCTGACCTTTTTCCTGAATCCCCTGTTTCCAGCTCCCCGTTGGACATCTCCACTTGAATGTGCTTGTACTTCCAACTCAACGTGTCCAAAACAGAATTCATCATTATCTTGCCCAAGCCAGCTCCATCTTCTGGCTTCCCTTTCTGTTCCTGTTCTCCCAGTCATCCAGGCTGGAAATCTTGGCATCCACTTGGACTCTACCCTGTCTCTTATGAACTATTTATACGTCCCCAGATCACATTAGTTCTTCTTTTAAAACCCACCTTCTCCCCTCCTTTCTGTTCCCACTGCCACCACCCTTACCCTCCTATACTTCCAGATAGTTTCCTAACTCATTTCCTTGCCTTCAATGTTTCCTCTCTTTAATCCATCTTGCTCATCACCACCATCAGTAACCATTGCTTAAAAAGTGTCAGTGGCTCCCCATTGCCTGTAGGATAAAGGATAAACTCCTCAGCCTGGCATTCAAGTCTCTCTCAGTTTTCTCCTAGCCAGTCTTCCCAGTCTTATCTCCACCTTTACCCCCTCTTACAATGGCCCTGTGTCCCAACTAACTGCTCCTCTTGGTCGTGTTGCAAACATGCCTTGCACTTTCCTACACTTATGAGTCTTTGCTCATCTTTTGTTCCTCTGAAATGCCCTCCCCGATCCTCTTTGTCTATTTCCAACTGCCTATTTCAAGACCTGTTGTAAGCCTTATTTCCTTCTTGAAGCTTTCCCTGCCTATATCAGCCCACACCAAACACTCGTTTCCTTGAATTTCTACAGAACCTTGCCTTTTGGGGCAGTTAATCACTGCCTAACATTGTTATCGTCTTTTTGTATTGTTACTCAGCTAAGCAAATGTGTCCAGTCTCCCCATCTAGACTGTGAGTTCCATATAGGCAAGGACTCTGTTTTCTCCTCTAGTTTCCTCTTATCACCACCACCCTACCTCTTGGATATACAGTAAATATCTGTGATCCTGAGAACAATTCACTGAGAGAATCTCAACTCTGAGACCCAGGGGCTCATAGAATATATCACCCACTCTAGGAAGGAAGGCAGGGAGGGAGGGAGGAAAGAAGGAAGGAAGGCAGGGAGTGAGGAAAAGGAAGGGAGGGAAGAAGGAAGGAAAGAAAGCAAGAAGGAAGGCAGAAAGGAAGGAAGGAAAGGAGGAAGGATGGAAGGAAAGAAGCAAGAAAGGGAGGAAGGCAGGGAAGAAGGAAGGAAGACAGGAAGGGAGGGAGGGAGGAAGGAGGGAAGAAAAGGAAAGAAGGAAGGGAGGGAAGAAGGAAGGAGGGCAGGGGGAGGGAGGAAGGAAAGAAAGCAAGAAGGAGGATGGAAAGGAAGGAAGGGAGGAAGGAGGGAAGAAAAGGAAGGAAGGCAGGGAGGGAGGGAGGGAAAAAGGAAGGTAGGAGAGAAAGCAGAGAGAGGGGAAAGAAGGAGGAAAGGGAAGGAGGGAGGAGGGAGAGAAGAAAAGGAAGGAAGGGAGAGAAGGAAGGAAAGAAAGCAAGAAGGAAGGCAGAAAGGAAGGAAAGGAGGAAGGATGGAAGGAAAGGAAGGAAGGAAAGAGGCAAGAAAGGGAGGAAGGCAGGGAAGAAGGGAGGAAGACAGGAAGAGAGGGAGGGAGGAAGGAGGGAAGAAAAGGAAGGGAGGGAGGAAGGAAGGAAAGAAAGCAAGAAGGAAGGCAGAAAGGAAGGAAAGGAGGAAGGATGGAAGGAAAGGAAGGAAGGAAAGAGGCAAGAAAGGGAGGAAGGCAGGGAAGAAGGGAGGAAGACAGGAAGAGAGGGAGGGAGGAAGGAGGGAAGAAAAGGAAAGAAGGAAGGGAGGGAAGAAGGAAGGCAGGCAGGAGGAGGGAGGAAGGAAAGAAAGCAGGAAGCACCTGCTGTACCAGATACTGTGCTAAGCACTTTACAAACATTATTTCATTTGAGCCTCACAACAAACCTATGAGGTAGGTATAATTATTGTCCACATTTTATAGTTGAGGAAACTAAATGTTTAACAAATGCTTGTTAAGTTGAATTACTTGGTTCTAAGTTCTCAGGATCCTTGGCCTTATTTAACAGTTGAGGAAACTAAAGCTGAGAGATACTAAGTGACTTGTCCAGGGTCACTCAACTATAAGTATCTGAGGCCAGATTTGAACTCTGGTCTTCTCAACTCCAGGCCCAGCACTCTATCTTCTGTGCCACTGAGCTGCCTCTTAGGGAGTACACTATTGGTCTGTAATAGCCGCAGGTTGGCCAAAGAAACTGTGGGGAGAGTCAGGCTCTAATTTCCACCCACTCTTGGTCCTCTTATAGGGTCTATGCCCAGCAGCTTCACCCCAGGTATTATCTGCAGTCATAGTGAATTGACCTTCTATCCCAATGGGCTGCTAGAAGCTTATGCCAGTTTGTATTTTGGATTCACAGAGTGAGGCCAGAGAAGGTCCTTTGTCAGCTGATGGGGCTCCCCGGGCTTTTTTTCCTTCCTATTTTTCCAGGTCTACAGGGCCCCACCTCCGGTTAGCTCCAAAGGACCCAATGTGCTTTGGGCCCAAGTGGCATAATTACCAAGGCCCATGTGGCAGGGAGGCCACTGAGGCAAGGGCTGGGAACACAAGACTCATGTATTCCAAGGAGCCCTCCTCGTCCACTGACAGCTGCACAGCATGTTAAGTGAAGAAGGCATCAGAATGGGAATCACAGACCTGGGTTCTAGTCCTTGCTCAAGTTGGGTGGTCTTGAGCAAATCACCTTGAAGTTCTGGGCCTCAGTTCCACCCTTCTCAGCTCTGACATGCAGCAGTAAAGTGTAAATGCCTCAAGGACAGGAGCTCTTTCAGTCTTGGTGTCTATATCTCTAGCACCTAGTGCTCAGTGCCTGGCACATAGTAAGCACCTAATAAATGCTTGTTAAATTGAACTTTGAAGTCCTCAGGCTCCTGGGCCCAGCCTACCTTCCTGGCCCAATGAGGGATGGAAGCTGTGCTCCCATCTGTTGGGGGGCCAGAGGAAGAGCTTCCTGGCTCAACCCTTCGCCTGGGCATAGATGCATCAGGAACCTTGTTTACCCATGGAACCTGGGAGACCTGCAGAAACAAGAGCTGGGAGAGAGAGGGGGAGGGGGCGGGCTGGGTTTAGTGCCTTCTGACTCATCTCCAGCCACTCAACTCCACCCCGAGTGGGGTTTGGCCTGACCCCATCATGTTGGGAAGGGAAAGGGTGGGGGGGGTCGTAGGGAGAAGTGTGGGGGCAATTCCTCCTCTATCTCAGGGCTAGGGGCCGGGGAGTGGCCTGACATCGCTGTTCAGTTTGTGATGTAATCTGTAGTTTTTGTTTTTAAATTTGGAGTGCTTATTCTGCCCTCTTTGCACATCATTGCTGATCCACTTCCCCCCACCCCCCGGAAGGCATAGCATTCTCTCCCTTCAGCCATGGCCTTTGTAGCCCTTACCAGAGGTCTGGAGAAGTCTGGAGGGAGGCTGTTCTCTTATAGCAAAGCAGCTGGTTTGGGTTGGCTCTACATAGTCTTAGGTTCTAGAAATCTGATGCTTCAGTCCCAGGTGAAGGAGGATCTGGGAATGTCCCAGAGCACCTGAGCTCATGCCAGAATCTCAGAATTAGGCCAGGTTCCATCCTGGGGGAGCAGCCATGCACTCATTCCCCTCTGAAGCATGCACTCATTCCCCACTTTCCCTCTACCATCAGGGCCTTATGCTATTGATCATTGTTTTTTCCTTTCATATTATATCATTCACGATCTACTCTTCTTTTTCTATTACATACACTGATCTACCCTGTCCTTAAAAAAAAAATCCTTCACTTGATAAGAGATAACTGTGGTATAGTAGGCAGAGAGCCAAACTTGAAGTCAGGAAGACCTGGGTTCAAATCCTGCTTTTGATAACATTCAGGTTATATGACCCTGAGCACATCACTTAACACCTCAGCTTGCTAAGACTACATTGGTGGAAAGAATTTCTTCATGAGGAATTTCCTATATCAATGAAATCACATAGGTTCAAAAATCCAAAAATAAAATTAATTAAAAAAAAAAAACAAAAAAAATCCAAAAATAAGCAAAAAACCCCAACAACAACAAAGAAAACAAAAACCTTTCGCTTGATTCTGCTTTGCTGGTAAGCTGCCATTTCATATCTCCTTTCCTTTTCAACTCCTAGAAAGAGTTGTCTGTGCTTACTGCTGGAG